CCCTGACCCTGACCCTGACCCTGACCTGACCCTGACCCTGACCCTGACCCTGACCCTGACCCTGACCCTGACCCTGACCTGACCCTGACCCTGACCCTGACCCTGACCCTGACCCTGACCCTGACCCTGACCCTGACCCTGACCCTGACCCTGACCCTGACCCTGACCTGACCCTGACCCTGACCCTGACCCTGACCCTGACCCTGACCCTGACTGACCCTGACCCTGACCCTGACCCTGACCCTGACCTGACCCTGACCCTGACCCTGACCCTGACCCTGACCCTGACCCTGACCCTGACCCTGACCCTGACCCTGACCCTGACCCTGACCCTGACCACCCTGACCCTGACCCTGACCCTGACCCTGACCCTGACCCTGACCCTGACCCTGACCCTGAACCCTGACCCTGACCCTGACCCTGACCCTGACCCTGACCCTGACCCTGACCCTGACCCTGACCCTGACCCTGACCCTGACCCTGACCCTGAACCTGAACCTGACCCTGACCCTGACCCTGACCCTGACCCTGACCCTGACCCTGACCCTGACCCTGACCCTGACCCTGACCCTGACCCTGACCCTGACCCTGACCCTGACCCTGACCCTGACCTGACCCTGACCCTGACCCTGACCCTGACCTGACCTGACCCTGACCTGACCCTGACCCTGACCCTGACCCTGACCCTGACCCTGACCCTGACCCTGACCCTGGACCCTGACCCTGACCCTGACCCTGACCCTGACCCTGACCCTGACCCTGACCTGACCCTGACCCTGACCCTGACCCTGACCCTGACCCTGACCCTGACCCTGACCCTGACCCTGACCCTGACCCTGACCCTGACCCTGACCCTGACCCTGACCCTGAACCCTGACCTGACCCTGACCCTGACCCTGACCCTGACCCTGACCCTGACCTGACCCTGACCCTGACCCTGACCCTGACCCTGACCCTGACCTGACCCTGACCCTGACCCTGACCCTGACCCTGACCCTGACCCTGACCCTGACCCTGACCCTGACCCTGACCCTGACCCTGACCCTGACCTGACCCTGACCCTGACCCTGACCCTGACCCTGACCTGACCCTGACCTGACTGACCTGACCCTGACCCTGACCTGACCCTGACCCTGACCCTGACCCTGACCCTGACCTGACCCTGACCCTGACCCTGACCCTGACCCTGACCCTGACCCTGACCCTGACCCTGACCCTGACCCTGACCCTGACCCTGACCCTGACCCTGACCCTGACCTGACCCTGACCTGACCCTGACCCTGACCCTGACCCTGACCCTGACCCTGACCCTGACCTGACCTGACCCTGACCCTGAACCCTGACCCTGACCCTGACCCTTGACCCTGACCCTGACCCTGACCCTGACCCTGACCCTGACCCTGACCCTGACCCTGACCTGACCCTGACCCTGACCCTGACCTGACCCTGACCCTGACCCTGACCCTGACCCTGACCCTGACCCTCACTGACCCTGACCCTGACCCTGACCCTGACCCTGACCCTGACCCTGACCCTGACCCTGACCCTGACCCTGACCCTGACCCTGACCCTGACCCTGACCCTGACCTGACCTGACCCTGACCCTGACCCTGACCTGACCCTGACCCTGACCCTGACCCTGACCCTGACCCTGACCCTGACCCTGACCCTGACCTGACCCTGACCCTGACCTGACCCTGACCCTGACCCTGACCCTGACCCTGACCCTGACCCTGACCCTGACCCTGACCCTGACCCTGACCCTGACCCTGACCCTGACCCTGACCTGACCCTGACCCTGACCCTGACCCTGACCCTGACCCTGACCCTGACCCTGACCCTGACCCTGACCCTGACCCTGACCCTGACCCTGACCCTGACCCTAACCCTAACCCTAAAATCTTATTAAAAAGGGTTTTTTTTTTCTGCCTGCTATTCCTTCTTGGACCACAGGAGGGCACTGTTTTCTCCAGGGTTGCGAAACTGGCACAGAAGAATCTTAAAACGCCATCAAAAGGTTTCTTTCTTTTTGGGGCTGCGATACCTGCTTTGACCACAGGAGGGCACAATTTTCTGCACCTTAGCCATAACATTTTCAAGTCACGGGACGGAAAACTGTGCCCTCGTGTGGCCAAAACAGGTATCGCGGCCGCAAAAACAAATAAACCTTTTCGATGGCGTTTTAAGATTCTTCGGTGCCGGCTCCGCAACCCTGGACAAAACAGTGCCCTCCTGTGGTCCAAGAAGGAATAGCATAACAACCCTAAAACTCCTTTTAAAAGTTCCTTTCTTTTTGTGGCTGCGATACCTATTTTGACCACAGGAGGGCACAATTTTCTGCACCTTAGTCGTAACTTTGAACTCATGGGACGGAAAACTGTGCCCTCGTGTGGCCAAAACGGGTATCGCGGCCGCAAAAAGAAACCCTTTTAATGGGATTTTAAGGTTATTATCCTGTATCTTTATTTTTAACGTCTTATTAATATTTATTAAAGCGACGGGAGGCCCCTTTGCTGCAACACAGGAACTGGAAAAGAAATCCCGCTTCAAAAGCCTTAACCGGAGTTAAGGAGGCCTGTGATGGCCTATTGATATTAATAAAGTTTTTATATTAAAGAATAACAACCCTAAAACTCCATTTAAAAAGGTTCTTGCTTTTGGTTGCTGCGATCCCTGCTTGGACCCTTAGGAAGAACGAAGAAAGTAGGAGGAGAGGAAGGAAGAGAAGGGGAAAAGAAAGGTTGGAGTAAAGGTAAAGGTTTACCCACAGCAGCCCTTAAAAAGTAAAAATGAAAAATGAAAGTTGAAAGGTCGTTTTTTACCAACGGCGATGGGGGTTGCACAGGAGACGGACGGAAAGTTGCGCTGACGCTGGGAAGGTCGCTCCGAGAAGCGCCGGTACGGAAAAAATCGGCGACCGTGCTTTTTCTGCCTGCTATTCCTTCTTGGACCACAGGAGGGCACTGTTTTCTCCAGGGTTGCGGAGCTGCCACGGAAAAATCTTAAAATGCCATCGAAAAGGTTTCTTTCTTTTTGCGGCTGCGATACCTGCTTTGACCACAGGAGGGCACAATTTTCTGCACCTTAGTCATAACTTTGAACTCATGGGACGGAAAACTGTGCCCTCGTGTGGCCAAAACGGGTATCGCGGCTGCAAAAAGAAACCCTTTTAATGGGATTTTAAGATTATTATCCTGTACCTTTATTTTTAACGTCTTATTAATATTTATTAAAGCGACGGGAGGCCCGTTTGCTGCAACACGGGAACTGGAAAAGAAATCTCGCTTCAAAAGCCTTAACCGGAGTTAAGGAGGCCTGTGATGGCCTATTGATATTATTAAAGTTTTAATAATAAAGAATAACAACCCTAAAACTCCATTTAAAAAGGTTCTTGCTTTTGGTTGCTGCGATCCCTGCTCGGACCGCACGAGGGCTCTGTTTTCTGTCAACGTTAGCGTGGAGGCCGTTGTAGACCTTTTGACCTCAGCTTAAGGCTTTTGAAGCAAGATTCTTTCTTTTTCCCCGTTATGTAGCTCCTGGGCCTCCAGTTGCTCTATTAATATTAATAAAGCTTTTAATAATAAAGAGACAGAATAATAATCTTTAAATGCTATTAAAAAGGTTTTTTTTTTCTGGCTGCTATATCTGCTTGGGCCACAGGAGGGCACTGTTTTCTGTCCCTTAGCGATAGCTTTGAAGGTATCGAGATAATACTTTATCGTGGTGGTAGGCTGTGTGGAGAACCCTAACCCTAACCCTAACCCCTAACCCCTAACCCCGACCTTTGACCCTGACCTTTGACACCCCCTGACCTTTGACCTTTGACCTTTGACCTCTGCCTCCCAGCGGTTTACCTCCTTGCAGCAAGCAACAAGAAGAAACAGCCCATTTCAGCTTCAGCACAGCCTAATTAGCACAACTTGATTGGATCCGCAGCCCGACTCTCAGCTGTTTTGCCTCGCCTCTGCTGCTTGCTGCAAAGAGGTAAATGGCTGGGAACAATTTTTTTTTTTGTGCTACTCAAGCTATGTTGAAAATAAAAATGAAAGTAAAGCAGCCTATTTTGCTGTAACGAGGCAAAATTGCTGACAGGAAGAGGCAGATTTCTTTTTCTTGTTTTCCTCACCAAAAAAGGGAGGTGCATCTTATAGTCCAGAGCATCTTATACTCCAAAAATTACAGTATATGCCGTTCGTCTCCCTGATAAGACGACTGTCTTATCAGGGAGACTGTGGCAGGCTACAGGCAATCTTCTCCGCAGCGTAAGAAGACAGAAGGATGCGTTGAATTTGACACTACCGATTTCCCTACGAAGCCTCTGCAATAGCACTTGCCCGCAAAACCCCCAGATTACAAGACTGGGGCTGTTCGTCTTAGAAAAAGAGCCACGTGCTGAGGTGCAGACGTGAAGGGGAGGATGCCGTTCTCCCCCGCAAAACAGCAGTCCTAACGGATCAGGACAGGCCAAAGAAAGTCTTTCCTCAAGAAATTAGCGTTAATGTACAGAATCTGCTTCCGTGGGGACGAGGTGATGGCCACCGACCTCAATGGACTGAAAGGGGGGACGATGGAGGGGACTGTTTGTCATGAGGCTACGTGCTGCCTGGGGCGATGAGGGCTAGATGCTTGAGCTGAAGGAGGCTTTCCTGTCCTACTACTTGGGCTTTCAACCGGTCCGATGGAAAGCAAAATCCGAGCGGGCTTTAACTGATAAGAGTGTCAAGACTGCCGCTGGAGATTCGGAGGGCAAAGGAGCCAGAGTGGTCTAGCGGAAGAGGTGGTGGAGGACGGAGGCGGTCCCTCTGACTAGGGACGGGTGCAGGGAGGAGAATGGGACCGAGGGGCCGGTCCTTGGAAGTGGATGGCTGCAACCGGTAAGAGAATGGGGTTCCCGCGCTTTTGAATATTTCAATTTACTGAGAAGAAACAGCTACGGTATCTTATATAAGCCGTAAGCAGGTGATGGGTCCAGCTGAAAAATCTACATGGACAAAAATGTGTAAACTGCAAAATACAGGTATAATTTTATTTACGGTTTAATATAGTATTAACAATGATAGGCAATCTGGCCTGACTATTTGCCCTGAAATAGGAACAACTCCTTCTCTCAAAGTATATCCCCAAAGGACAGCTATCAGGGAGATATGCCGGTACTGCTCTGTCCCTCGTGATCGCTTTAGAGGTGCGATTGGCCTCTGCCTTGAAAGATCCTAGATCCCGGGGTCTCCCCGGTTGCTGTGTTACAGCTGGATACTCACGGATTGGTGCGTGAAGGGCCACGTGTTCCTGGGATGGCGTGGAGTACTTGTACTGCTTGCCACAGAATTTACAGGTATAGTTGCCTGTTTCTACAAAGTAAGAAAACAATTTTCGGAAGGAGAAAAGGTTTTCCCAAAAACCCTTGACCCAAACGTGGATCTCAATTCAGAGCGTAGCAGGCTAGATGTTTCCCACGTGACCTCGTGAGATGAGTTCCAAGTTTTCTTGACCGAGGGGGCCCTGGGCGCCCACCTTCGTGTTAACTGTTTCCTCTGTTTTGCCCCAGCTCTCTTTCCTGGAGAGAGGCTGAAAAGACACGGCTGCTACAGAGGCTAGACTTCCTTTTGCAGAAGTAGCGTTTGGGAGTGGGCTGTATAAACCGTCGCAGACAGCAAAGGCCAAGTCGCGCTCTCATCAGCGCTTACGAGGGGTATCATCTCAGATCGTGATCGATTTCTAGTTTTAATATCGCTCCCCACCCTCAATTTCACCCTATTCCCGAAGAAAACATGGTAACGTACTTTTTTTTATCCCAGAGGACAATACTTAGACGATATCTTCCCCTTTAATGAAGAGCTATTGGTGAATTCTAAAATTAAGTCATGAGAAATGCAAGTGGAATGTTTTTCCTAGGTCTGAATATAATTATAAATTATAAATTATAAATAACGTGCGCTTAATTCCTTCTCTTTGCAATAAAGTATTTACATCTAAATACTTTGGCCAAATTGGATTGTTTTAACCAGATGCTTATAAAAGTATGTAACGTTAAGCGAGAATAATTTTATAATTCCCCGACTCAACCGTGTTTGTTTCTTCTCTATGTCAAACGTGGAAGATTAATTTTTTGGTTTACTTAGGAGTGCTATTTGCAAGCAGGTTGCTTGTCTCCTGACGGATGGCCGCAGTCCGAGTTCGAGCTGTTGCTTTGCGTGCAAAAGGTCCGGGTTCACCCCTGCGTTTCCAGGGAAGGGCTGGGAAAAACCCCTCTGCTTGAACGGATGTTCAGAGCCCTGCAGCCGGTCCGTGCCGATAGTCGTGGGACGGATGGACCGACGAGCAGACCTGATACCGAGCGGCTTTCGGGCATCCTGGGAGTTATTCTGCCTGCTACGCCTTGGAAAACCTAGCGGTTGCTATCGGTGCTCCTTAAACAAACCCCGGTGAAAGATAAATCCCAGGAAGATTTTCCAACGTGTCACCAGCCGTGCCCAGAGGAATGGAGTCGGGGTCCCGCACGGGCAAAGAATGTGCTCTTTCTCTTGGACTAGTGAGAGCTTCCTGCCTTTGCCAGAAACGCTCCATCCCTGGCTTGGGCCTGAAACCTCAGCTCTGAAACGCTGAAAGCTAGTTAATGACTTAAGTGGGGCTCCTCTTCTTTCACCTCCTCCTTGGCAATCGTTGCTTGGTCGTAGGGGTCTGCGAGAGGAGAGAAAGAGGAGAGAGCTGATCGGGGCCTGTGGAAACGCCTCCCTGGCTTTATCCCTCGGGACCTGCTCTCATCCTTAGTCTTAAATAGACTAACATACATTTCACACGTGTATGGTATTTTTACTGAATATATTTTTCTTGATAATCTCCCTATTAAAGTGACTAATAATAAGATGTGTGTTTCCAATTCGGGATATAAAATTTGCACTTATGATTTCTTTTTAAAGTGTGACAACTTGATTGCAAAAAACTGCAGTCGTTCTTAACAAGAGTCAGACTACTTCCAAAAAGCAACACGACCGGCCTACCTCTACCAAGAGGCCCCGAGACTCTCCTATCCACCAAACAGGCGCTCTTTCTCCCGACGGAGTGGATTAATCTCTGCACACACCCACGGGTGCTTCAAACTGCAACACGGCAGGGCTTCCGGCTCCATTCTCCATCCGTTGAGCATTCGCCCGAATGCTCCTCGGTCAAAGACTTCCTAAAGGGTTGGAATCGTTGAGCCAGAAGTTTCTATTGGCTGAAACTTTATTGCCAAAAGTTGTATGGTATTATGTCTCTAAACTAGCTGGGTATATGTAGATAAGCGCACACACAACAACAACAACATTCTAATGGTTTCCCTTGGATTTTGATTTTTTCGCATCACCCAATGGTGTCAACGGCCCTGCACAAAAGCTCCCCTCCCCGGCTTCTTTCCATAAAATGCAGGCCGGGGTTACCTGCGAAGAGCTCTAAGCGATAACTAAAGGTCCTGAGAACGGGTGCCGGAGCCTGCAGGCTTGCCTGCCCCGTGCCTCCTTTCCCTTCCCTTGGGAGGAGATGGGAAGCTCTAGTCCCGTGATGATGAACCTGTGGCATGCGGAGCCATATTGGTGGGCACGCGAGGGTTGCCCTAGCTTGTTGTGGATTTAATAAGACAAACACAACTTTTGGATTAATCAGAGACAATTTGTATATTGCGCAATAGGTTCAAAGCTCTGTACGTGAAGCGTTGAACAAAGACAGAAATTAGGTACAATGGTTTTATACCCTTCTAGACAAAGGATTCTGTTAACTCAGCAATTCATATGGTCATATACATTTGTCATTTTTAATTGACATTTCCTAATTACTGAGTTTCTTTGCAAAACAGTTATAATTCTTTTTGTAGATTACTGAAGCATAGACTCAAATCATCTTCTGACGATAGACAACTTTTAACTCGTGTGGATCCCCGTGACCTAACCAACCTTTAAGCTGTATGTCATTAGAATGTTCCTTTCTTCTGACAACTTAGAGGCCTCCTAGAGGAACCAAAATTTTGGCTGAGTTGTACTTTTTCCAACCGGATGCATTGCTTTTTAGAATCGAGTGAATAGAAAGTTATCCAGTGGTCATCTATCAGAGCCGCTTCATTTACATTAAGCTCAACTCCAGCGTGCATGCACATGTTGGCCAACTGATTCCGGTCCCACTGGAAGTCAGGAAACGAGACGAAATGAAACCCTAACCCTAAACCCTAAACCCTAAAAGATTGAACTGGAAAGGGAAACGACAGGAGAGAGGGGAAGGGAGAACAGAGGACAGGAGAGAACAGGAGAAAGAAGAAAGGGGAAAGGAGAGGAAGAAAAGGGAGGGGAAAGAGGAGTAGAGGAGTGGGGGAAGGGAAGGGGAAGTAGGAAAGAGAAGGAGAGGAAGAACAAAGGAAGAACGAAGGAAGTAGGAGGAGAGGAAGGAAGAGAAGGGGAGAAGAAAGATTGGAATAAAGGTAAAGGGTAAAAGAGCAGCCCTGAAAAAATAAAAATGAAAAATGAAAGTTGAAAGGTCGTTTTTTTTCCAACGGCGATGGGGGTTGGACAGGAGACGGACGGGAAGTTGCGCTGACTCTGGGAAGGTCGCTCCGAGAAGCGCTGGTACAGAAAAAGTCGGCGACCGTGCTTTTTCTGCCTGCTATTCCTTCTTGGACCACAGGAGGGCACTGTTTTCTCCAGGGTTGCGAAACTGGCACAGAAGAATCTTAAAACGCCATCAAAAAGGTTTCTTTCTTTTTGGGGCTGCGATACCTGCTTTGACCACAGGAGGGCACAATTTTCTGCACCTTAGCCATAACATTTTCAAGTCACGGGACGGAAAACTGTGCCCTCGTGTGGCCAAAACAGGTATCGCGGCCGCAAAAACAAATAAACCTTTTCGATGGCGTTTTAAGATTCTTCGGTGCCGGCTCCGCAACCCTGGACAAAACAGTGCCCTCCTGTGGTCCAAGAAGGAATAGCATAACAACCCTAAAACTCCTTTTAAAAAGTTCCTTTCTTTTTGTGGCTGCGATACCTATTTTGACCACGGGAGGGCACAATTTTCTGCACCTTAGTCATAACTTTGAACTCATGGGACGGAAAACTGTGCCCTCGTGTGGCCAAAACGGGTATCGCGGCCGCAAAAAGAAACCCTTTTAATGGGATTTTAAGGTTATTATCCTGTATCTTTATTTTTAACGTCTTATTAATATTTATTAAAGCGACGGGAGGCCCCTTTGCTGCAACACAGGAACTGGAAAAGAAATCCCCTTCAAAAGCCTTAACCGGAGTTAAGGAGGCCTGTGATGGCCTATTGATATTAATAAAGTTTTTATATTAAAGAATAACAACCCTAAAACTCCATTTAAAAAGGTTCTTGCTTTTGGTTGCTGCGATCCCTGCTTGGACCCTTAGGAAGAACGAAAAAAGTAGGAGGAGAGGAAGGAAGAGAAGGGGAAAAGAAAGGTTGGAGTAAAGGTAAAGGTTTACCCAGAGCAGCCCTTAAAAAGTAAAAATGAAAAATGAAAGTTGAAAGGTCGTTTTTTACCAACGGCGATGGGGGTTGCACAGGAGACGGACGGAAAGTTGCGCTGACGCTGGGAAGGTCGCTCCGAGAAGCGCCGGTACGGAAAAAATCGGCGACCGTGCTTTTTCTGCCTGCTATTCCTTCTTGGACCACAGGAGGGCACTGTTTTCTCCAGGGTTGCGGAGCTGCCACGGAAAAATCTTAAAATGCCATCGAAAAGGTTTCTTTCTTTTTGGGCTGCGATACCTGTTTTGACCACAGGAGGGCACAATTTTCTGCACCTTAGTCATAACTTTGAACTCATGGGACGGAAAACTGTGCCCTCGTGTGGCCAAAACGGGTATCGCGGCTGCAAAAAGAAACCCTTTTAATGGGATTTTAAGATTATTATCCTGTACCTTTATTTTTAACGTCTTATTAATATTTATTAAAGCGACGGGAGGCCCGTTTGCTGCAACACAGGAACTGGAAAAGAAATCTCGCTTCAAAAGCCTTAACCGGAGTTAAGGAGGCCTGTGATGGCCTATTGATATTATAAAGTTTTAATAATAAAGAATAACAACCCTAAAACTTCCATTTAAAAAGTTTCTTGCTTTTGGTTGCTGCGATCCCTGCTCGGACCGCACGAGGGCTCTGTTTTCTGTCAACGTTAGCGTGGAGGCCGTTGTAGACCTTTGGACCTCAGGTTAAGGCTTTTGAAGCAAGATTCTTTCTTTTCCCCGTTATGTAGCTCCTGGGCCTCCAGTTGCTCTATTAATATTAATAAAGCTTTTAATAATAAAGAGACAGAATAATAATCTTTAAATGCTATTAAAAAGGTTTTTTTTTTCTGGCTGCTATATCTGCTTGGGCCACAGGAGGGCACTGTTTTCTGTCCCTTAGCGATAGCTTTGAAGGTATCGAGATATTACTTTATCGTGGTGGTAGGCTGTGAGAACCCTAACCCTAACCCTAACCCTAAACCCTAACCCCGACCTTTGACATCCCCTGACCTTTAACCTTTGACCTTTGACCTCTGCCTCCCAGTGATTTACCTCCTTGCAGCAAGCAACAAGAAGAAACAGCCCATTTCAGCTTCAGCACAGCCTAATTAGCACAAGTTGATTGGATCCGCAGCCCGACTCTCAGCTGTTTTGCCTGGCCTCTGCTGCTTGCTGCAAAGAGGTAAATGGCTGGGAACAATTTTTTTTTTGTGCTACTCAAGCTATGTTGAAAATAAAAATGAAAGTAAAGCAGGCTATTTTGCTGTAACGAGGCAAAATTGCTGAGAGGAAGAGGCAGATTTCTTTTTCTTGTTTTCCTCACCAAAAAAGGTAGGTGCATCTTATAGTCCAGAGCATCTTATACTCCAAAAATTACAGTATATGCCGTTCGTCTCCCTGATAAGACGACTGTCTTATCAGGGAGACTGTGGCAGGCTACAGGCAATCTTCTCCGCAGCGTAAGAAGACAGAAGGATGCGTTGAATTTGACACTACCGATTTCCCTACGAAGCCTCTGCAACAGCACTTGCCCGCAAAACCCCCAGATTACAAGACTGGGGCTGTTCATCTTAGAAAAAGAGCCACGTGCTGAGGTGCAGACGTGAAGGGGAGGATGCCGTTCTCCCCCTCAAAACAGCAGTCCTAACGGATCAGGACAGGCCAAAGAAAGTCTTTCCTCAAGAAATTAGCGTTAATGTACAGAATCTGCTTCCGTGGGGACGAGGTGATGGCCACCGACCTCAATGGACTGAAAGGGGGGACGATGGAGGGGACTGTTTGTCATGAGGCTACGTGCTGCCTGGGGCGATGAGGGCTAGATGCTTGAGCTGAAGGAGGCTTTCCTGTCCTACTTCTTGGGCTTTCAACCGGTCCGATGGAAAGCAAAATCCGAGCGGGCTTTAACTGAGTAAGAGGGTCAAGACTGCCGCTGGAGATTCGGAGGGCAAAGGAGCCCGGGGGGCCTAGCGGAAGAGGTGGTGGAGGACGGAGGCGGTCCCTCTGACTAGGGACGGGTGCAGGGAGGAGAATGGGACCGAGGGGCCGGTCCTTGGAAGTGGATGGCTGCAACCGGTAAGCGAATGGGGTTCCCGCGCTTTTGAATATTTCAATTTACTGAGAAGAAACAGCTACGGTATCTTATATAAGCCGTAAGCAGGTGATGGGTCCAGCTGAAAAATCTACATGGACAAAAATGTGTAAACTGCAAAATACAGGTATAATTTTATTTACGGTTTAATATAGTATTAACAATTATAGGCAATCTGGCCTGACTATTTGCACTGAAATAGGAACAACTCCTTCTCTCAAAGTATATCCCCAAAGGACAGCTATCAGGGAGATATGCCGGTACTGGTCTGTCCCTCGTGATCGCTTTAGAGGTGCGATTGGCCTCTGCCTTGAAAGATCCTGGATCCCGGGGTCTCCCCGGTTGCTGTGTCACAGCTGGAGTTCCAAGTTTTCTTGACCGAGGGGGCCCTGGGCGCCCACCTTCGTGTTAACTGTTTCCTCTGTTTTGCCCCAGCTCTCTTTCCTGGAGAGAGGCTGAAAAGACACGGCTGCTACAGAGGCTAGACTTCCTTTTGCAGAAGTAGCGTTTGGGAGTGGGCTGTATAAACCGTCGCAGACAGCAAAGGCCAAGTCGCGCTCTCATCAGCGCTTACGAGGGGTAGTTATCATCTCAGATCGTGATCGATTTCTAGTTTTAATATCGCTCCCCACCCTCAATTTCACCCTATTCCCGAAGAAAACCTGGTAACGTACTTTTTTTTATCCCAGAGGACAATACTTAGACGATATCTTCCCCTTTAATGAAGAGCTCTTTGTGAATTCTAAAATTAAGTCATGAGAAATGCAAGTGGAATGTTTTTCCTAGGTCTGAATATAATTATTAAAATAAATAACGTGCGCTTAATTCCTTCTCTTTGCAATAAAGTATTTACATCTAAATACTTTGGCCAAATTGGATTGTTTTAACCAGATGCTTATAAAAGTATGTAACGTTAAGCGAGAATAATTTTATAATTCCCCGACTCAACCGTGTTTGTTTCTTCTCTATGTCAAACGTGGAAGATTAATTTTTTGGTTTACTTAGGAGTGCTATTTGCAAGTAGGTTGCTTGTCTCCTGACGGATGGCCGCAGTCCGAGTTCGAGCTGTTGCTTTGCGTGCAAAAGGTCCAGGTTCACCCCTGCGTTTCCAGGGAAGGGCTGGGAAAAACCCCTCTGCTTGAACGGATGTTCAGAGCCCTGCAGCCGGTCCGTGCCGATAGTCGTGGGACAGATGGACCGACGAGCAGACCTGATACCGAGTGGCTTTCGGACATCCTGGGAGTTATTCTGCCTGCTACGCCTTGGAAAACCTAGAGGTTGCTATCGGTGCTCCTTAAACAAACCCCGGTGAAAGATACATCCCAGGAAGATTTTCCAACGTGTCACCAGCCGTGCCCAGAGGAATGGAGTCCGGGTCCCGCACGGGCAAAGAATGTGCTCTTTCTCTTGGACTGGTGAGAGCTTCCTGCCTTTGCCAGAAACGCTCCATCCCTGGCTTGGGCCTGAAACCTCAGCTCTGAAACACTGAAAGCTGGTCAATGACTTAAGTTGCAAACTCGGTCAATCGTACTTGGACCGATCTTCTGAAAGGGCTGGGGCTCCTCTTCTTTCACCTCCTCCTTGGCAATCGTTGCTTGGTCGTAGGGGTCTGCGAGAGGAGAGAAGGAGGAGAGAGCTGATCGGGGTGTGTGGAAACGCCTCCCTGGCTTTATCCCTCGGGCCCTGCTCTCATCCTTAGTCTTAAATAGACTAACATACATTTCACACGTGTATGGTATTTTTACTGATTATATTTTTCTTGATAATCTCCCTATTAAAGTGACTAATAATAAGATGCGTGTTTCCAATTCGGGATATAAAATTTGCACTTATGATTTCTTTTTAAAGTGTGACAACTTGATTGCAAAAAACTGCAGTCGTTCTTAACAAGAGTCAGACTACTTCCAAAAAGCAACACGACCGGCCTACCTCTACCAAGAGGCCCCGAGACTCTCCTATCCACCAAACAGGCGCTCTTTCTCCCGACGGAGTGGATTAATCTCTGCACACACCCACGGGTGCTTCAAACTGCAACACGGCAGGGCTTCCGGCTCCATTCTCCATCCGTTGAGCATTCGCCCGAATGCTCCTCGGTCAAAGACTTCCTAAAGTGTTGGAATCGTTGAGCCAGAAGTTTCTATTGGCTGAAACTTTATTGCCAAAAGTTGTATGGTATTATGTCTCTAAACTAGCTGGGTATATGTAGATAAGCGCACACACAACAACAACAACATTCTAATGGTTTCCCTTGGATTTTGATTTTTCGCATCACCCAATGGTGTCAACGGCCCTGCACAAAAGCTCCCCTCCCCAGCTTCTTTCCATAAAATGCAGGCCGGGGTTACCTGCGAAGAGCTCTAAGCGATAACTAAAGGTCCTGAGAACGGGTGCCACAGCCGGCAGGCTTGCCTGCCCTGTGCCTCCTTTCCCTTCCCTTGGGAGGAGATGGGAAGCTCTAGTCCCGTGATGGTGAACCTGTGGCATGCGGAGCCATATTGGTGGGCATGCGAGTGTTGCCCTAGCTCAACTCCAGCGGGCATGCACATGCTGGCCAACTGATTCCGGTCCCACCGGAAGTCAAGAAAGGAGACGAAACAAAACCCTAACCCTAAACCCTAAACCCTAAACCATAAAACCTAAAACCTAAACCCTAAAAGATTGAACTGGAAAGGGAAACGACAGAAGAGAGGGGAAGGGAGAACAGAGGACAGGAGAGACCAGGAGAAAGAAGAAAGGGGAAAGGAGAGGAAGAAAAGGGAGGGGAAAGAGGAGTAGAGGAGTGGGGGAAGGGAAGGGGAAGTAGGAAAGAGAAGAAGAGGAAGAACGAAGGAAGAACGAAGGAAGTAGGAGGAGAGGAAGGAAGAGAAGGGGAGAAGAAAGGTTGGAATAAAGGTAAAGGGTAAAAGAGCAGCCCTGAAAAAGTAAAAATGAAAGTTGAAAGGTCGTTTTTTTCCAACGGCGATGGGGGTTGGACAGGAGACGGACGGGAAGTTGCGCTGACGCTGGGAAGGTCGCTCCGAGAAGCGCTGGTACAGAAAATGTCGGCAACCGTGCTTTTTCTACCTGCTCTTCCTTCTTGGACCACTGGATGGCACTGTTTTCTCCAGGGTTGCGGAAATGGCACGGAAGAATAATTTCAATACGTACAGATAACAATCTTAAAATGTCATCGAAAAGGTTTCTTTCTTTTTCTGGCTGCGATACCTGCTTTGACCACAGGAGGGCACAATTTTCTGCACGTTAGCGATAACTTTGAAGTCATGGGACGGAAAACTGTGCCCTCGTGTGGCCAAAACAGGTATCGCGGCCGCAAAAAGAAAAACCTTTTCGACGGCATTTTAAGATTCTTCTGTGCCTGTTCCGCAATCCTGGAGAAAACAGTGCCCTCCTGTGGTCCAAGAAGGAATAGCATAACAACCCTAAAACTCCATTTAAAGTTTCTTTCTTTTGGTTGCTGCGATCCCTGCTTGGACCGCACGATGCCGCTGTTTTCTGTCAACGTTAGCGTGGAGACCGTTGTAGACCTCAGGTTAAGGCTTTTGAAGCAGGAAAGGCTTTTAATAATAAAGATACAGAATAATAATCTTTAAATGCTATTAAAAAGGGGTTTTTTTTCTGCCTGCTATTCCTTCTTGGACCACAGGAGGGCACTGTTTTCTCCAGGGTTGCGGAACTGGCACAGAAGAATCTTAAAATGTCATCGAAAAGGTTTCTTTTTGCGGCTGCGATACCTGCTTTGACCACAGGAGGGCACAATTTTCTGCACGTTAGCGATAACTTTGAAGTCACGGGACGGAAAACTGTGCCCTCGTGTGGCCAAATCAGGTACTGCGGCTGCAAAAAGAAACCCTTTTAATGGGATTTTAAGGTTATTATCCTGTACCTTTATTATTAACGTCTTATTAATATTTATTAAAGCAACGGGAGGCCCGTTTGCTGCAACACAGGCCTATTAATATTCAGATTGACAAAACACAGAAGGGGTTTAGTCTTTCACAAGAAGATAAAATTGAACAAGTTTTGCATCATTGCAACATGAAGGATGCTAACACAACAAAGACACTCATGCAAACAGATTTTCACAACTTGACACATGAAGCGAGTCCTGAGTTCGAGGATCAAACGCTTTATCGTTCAGTTATTGGGTCACTGTTGTACATTAGTAGTTGGACCAGACCCGACATTGCACTTAGTGTAAATCTTTTGTTTCGACACGTAGGTAAGGCAAAACAGTTTCATTGGACATGTGTTAAGAAATTATTGAAATACCTAAAACACACTAAACATATGAAATTATGGTTAGAACCGACACATACTGATTATGCAGAATTATGTTGTTATGCAGATTCTGATTGGGCGAGTGATAAGAAATCACGTAAAAGTACTTCAGGTTATATGATGTTCTTAAATGGATGTCCTGTTTATTGTACGTAAACAGAATTTTGTTTCTTGTTCATCTACTGAAGCTGAATATGCTTGTATTTCAGATGCATGTAATTCTCTAACGTGGTTTGATGCTTTGGTCACAGATATCTGGACACACCCGATCAGACCGATCACCGTGATGGAAGACAATGAATCGATGGTTTATATTTCTGAATCACATTTCACAAGTTCTAGGTCCAGACACATTGACATCCGTTATCAAAACATAAAACAATTAGTGAAAAAAAGTTTTGTTAACATATGATCAAATTGCTGATATGCTCAACTAACCGCTTCCAGCAGCTCAACACGAGTATCTGCGTAAGAAGATGTGCCTTATTTGATGATGTACTTGATGTCCGCTCAACTGACAAAGAAGGCGATTGTCACTGTGTTTTTTTGTATTTGCCAGCTGTGCTTGAACTCTAAGACTTACCGTAGCTGATCAGAGCTCTTATCTCTAAGCTAACTGCACATGTCCACATTCTTTCACTTTCTTCTATCTTTTCTTTGTTCTCCGGCCAAGAGAGGTAGCCGGGAAAGCTTTGCCAAGATGTAACTAATTAGCTAGTAAGATGTTTTAACTTCTTTATAATAAAACGTGTTTATTAGAATATATCTCGGTTTTATTTTCTTAAAGTATACTTCAAGAAAAGGTCACGATCCGTTCTCTAATCAAGGTGCAATTACCCAAAAGCAGAATGGGATTAATTGCCACCCTGACATGGTTTTCCCAGTTGCAATGGATGGCTGTGAAAGTTGGACCGTAAGGAAGGCTGAGCGCCAAAGAATGGAGGCCTTTGAACTCTGGTGCTGGAAAAGACTCCTGAGAGTCCCTTGGTCTGCAAGGCGATCAAACGGGTCAGTCCTAGAGGAGTAGGGTTGCCAGGTCTGCTTCCAAGTAGTAAAATTTTTAGTAGTAAATTTTTTTTAAAAAAAATTACAATTAAATTATATATTTTCTTACAAACATTTTAAAACGTATTAAAATAATCACTTCAAAACTTTACTTAAAATTCAAAACATCAAATATATTATAATAATATGTAAAATAGGGTAACCCTATTCTAACCCTAACCCTAACCCTGGGCCTGCCAGCCAGCATTGTTTAGCTGAAGGGACCCGGAGGAGACCAACTCTGTGGGATCTTACGGATCGCTGGGAGCTATGCGGCAGAAGGCAGTCTCGAAGATAACCTGGCCCTGAGCCAATGGCAGGTTCCCCCGTCAACAGGGGGAGGGGGAGGGGGAGGAGGAGGGGTTCCCCATAACATAAGCCAGTTAGAGCCAAATGGTTGCTGGGTGTAGGAAGGATGGAAGCCCTGGAGGAGATCCCTCCTGATGGCTACCAGATGCCGACGTGGAGAGGCTGCCTGGCAGAAGAGGATAAGGAAGACCTCCTGCTGATCCAGGCTCTGCATCTCTTGAAAGAATCTTTTGAAAGTCAGAAAGCATGTGAAAGGTATGCATTGCCTGCGCATGGGGAGACTGAACACCCAGGGGGAGAAGCAGAGGCCTCTGCATGCCCAGAAGAGATGCCCAGAGCTCAGCCAGAGCTAGGCTCAAGCAGCAGCTGCAGCCCAGCTTCCCCCCCTCCCCCCCCGTGGGAGGGGTTGTCCCCCGGAGGCGTCGAATTCCAAATGTTCCTCAGCTAGCAGTAAAATACGGAGGAGATCCCAAGGGTTTGAGATTCTTCCTAAACCAAATGTGAAACCATATGCTAGAAGTATGAAGAAGATTTCACATCAGAGCCAGCATGCATGAGGTGTATCACCATGGCCCTGGAGGGGATACCGGCTGATTGGATGGTGGGTCTCCATAATGAGGATTCTCCCCTGCTGACGAATTACGACCAGGTTATGACGGTGCTCCGAGTGCGCTTTAAGGACCCCTTAGCTGAGCGAAAGGCTAGAATCAGGATGAATTCTATAAATCAGGGGCGGAGTTCGGTGGCCGAATACACCCAGGAGTTTCATGAGCTGGTGCGCCACAAGAGGGGGTGGTCCCAGGAGGCCCTGATGGAATGTTATAAGGATGGCCTCAATGAGGAAGTCTACAAGGATTGCAGCTCCCAAGGGGCCCCCCCGAGACCTGCAATGCTGGTATGTGTGACATGGAAATTGACCTGGCCAGAGATCGCTACCATGGGGGCCATGCCTGGAACAAGCCTTCCCCCTCTTCCCAGAAAGAGGCTCCCAGAGTTGCCAGAGGGGGGCCAGCTCCCAAACCTAAGTCCACAGCATGCTTCAGATGTGGGAAGGAAGGGCACTGGGCTGCTGGTTGTTTCTCCAGACCCCGCTCCATGCCGACCCCTGCTGGAGGGAAGAGCACCGACAAGCTGCCAGCAAAGAACCATGAAACAGCCCTGAAGGGGGTGGAAGTTGTTGAGTTCACTCCCCCAAACGTGAGGGAGTTGGGAGCTCCGACCGGTGCAGGGGCAGCGAAACTAAAACCGACACTGACTCCCTGGTAAATCAGCATGGGGGCCCCATGACCATCCCGGTAGAACTAAGGGTACCATCATCCGGTGCCCAGGGGAAGATGTTAGCCCTCTTAAACTCTGGATGTACTAGATGTGTCATCAGCCCAGAGGTGGTGGAAAAAATAGGACAGACTAAAAACAATGAAAGTGCCCATCACGTTCTGCCAGTCGGATGGGTCAGTAGCTGGGGGGGGGCAGCCCACTTTGTGATTGAACCAGTTGAAATGTGGATAGGGGACCACCGAGAGACTTTGAGCTTTACCGTAGCCCCTGGTATGGAACGACCCCTCTTGCTTGGACTGCCCTGGCTTCTAAAATGGAACCCGCAGGTGAATTGGAGGAAGGGCTTGTTACGCATCAGCTCCACCCAGCAGGGGAAGGAAGGGGAAAACCTTTCTGCATAGCCAAAGCTGCGAAGGAGTTGGCAGCGGCAGTGAGCGAACGCATTGCTGGGGAGGAAAAAATCCCTAAGGAATATTGGAACCTCAGGGAGGCTTTCAGCAAGAGGGCGTCAGATGTGCTCCCACCCCACCAGCCCACGGACTGCGCCACAGAAATCCTCCCAAGGGTGAAGCTCCCTAAACCAAAGATCTACTCTATGTCCCCCTCGTGAGCTGGAGGAGCTGCGGAACTTTATTGATAAAAATTTAAAACAGGGCTTCTTGGGTTTTACCAACTTTTATCAACAATTCATCCCCTCGTTTGCAAAAATTGCATTAACAATTACCAACCTCCTAAAAACAAAGGGAGAGGCTAAGCCAAAGCCTAGCCGGCCTCTCGAGTGGACCATGGAGTGCCAGGTGGCTTTTGAGAAACTGAAACGACTGTTCGCAGCTGAGCCTGTCCTTAAAACACCCCGGCATGGAGGCCCCTTTTGTAGTCCAGGCCGATGCCAGTGTTGTAGCCGTGGGAGCAGTGCTACTTCAAGTAAATGCTGGTGGAACTTTACAACCCTGCACCTACACCTCCCGGTAACTGACTGAGACCGAAAGGAGATGGGCAATCTGGGAGGAGGTGGCTTTTGCTGTCCGCTGGGCCCTGCTAACCTGGAGGCGCTTCCTCGAGGCATCTATCCTGTCCAAATTATTTTGTTTTCTTTCCTTGGACTAATGTCTCTTCTGCAGAGGTTTTTTCTTGGGTTTTGAATAAAGGCACACCCGACACATGGGCAATTGTCCATCCCATCCATC